TAACTTTTTCCTTAGCAACGTCTTAGTGAATAGTCGCGCATAGGATCAGAGTCCGTTAGGTGAAAAACGGTACGTATTTGAGAAGTTGTAGCGGCACAACCTCCTACATTCACCATCAGAGGTCTATCGAGTTGACACCTTTCCGGCAACTACCTGAAGCCTTCCTCGTTCGTATATATGCGTCCTTAACCGACCATCGTATATCCCTGCGTCTAAGGCAGGATCTGCTAGGTACCCTTACTGACGAGTGCACTATAGCAGGCCCAGGACGAAACGCTTCCTCTCCTTTACTTTTTTCACATTTTCCAGTCTCCAGATTGCCGCCAAAAAGTCAAACCGACTTGGTGGTGGTATTGAGAGCAAAAACCGTCTCTGACATCCTCACGCGTACGCGCCTCAAACCGAGGGGTCGCGGGCACAAACCGCGCCGTGGTACAGCCGATACGAGACAGACCGTGACGAACTATCGGACGATACAACGTAGAAGTCACCAAACTAAAATTCACAAATCAGATTAAATTCCATTCTCACTTGCGTCTTTTGTACTGCGGATTAACTGAGGTTTAGTGCACGTCTCCATCCCAGAAATTCTCCCGATTTATCGGCAGAATCATCGGCTGCTGCGATGTCTACGCACGGAATTTATTTATATTTTTTTTTAATTTGTGTCTCTCCTTTACTTCAAGCAATTCAGATTTTACTGCAAATGTTTCACGACCGTCCAGTGTCAAAATCTTTACAACTGCTTGTTATTTTTTCATTCAAATGAACCGCAAGCAAATGAGGTAGCTAACTCTATTTGTGGTATGGCTGGTGAAGAAGTTGCGTTTATAATGGCGTGGCAGCGTAATTACTCATTGTGCTAATCCACAACGATACGAGTATACACAGACGTTGCGTAATTAGCGCGTGGGCTGCAAAGAAAAAAAAACGAAGAGCGAAAGGTCAGAGGGATTTCCTGAAGTGAAATATACCACCAAAACGTTATAAAATCCGTATACTTGCGTACTTTCTACATTTTACAGATATATATGCGTCGATAAATACAGGAAATATATATTAATGATGAACGAAGACTATTTCTATAGTCTACTATTAGTTATTCGTGTGTTCTACAAAGTGGATGTGAAATTTTATTCATGGTATTTCGCGTTCGTACAAAAGGTTCGCTCGTTTATATAAATAAATAAATAAATCAATGAAATAAATAAGAACCATTCTTTATCGATGGTAATTCGTTATTGGAGTTCATCCTTGAATATTGCATACCATCGTGTTATTCGGTCCCGAGGGAATTAGTGTTCTTAAGCTTCACATGAAGTACAGTTTATTATACATACAGTGAAAATCGTTAACAAGTTACTATTTTCATGAAGTCTTTTTATAGTGTAGGCCATAGAGAAGAATATGTTCGAAACTCAAGTACTTACCAAAATATTCGTATAGCCTAGAATCTAGGCCCTAGATGATTCAATCAGTTGCCTGTCGATTTAAATGGAAATATTCTGAATTTGTATGACAGTCTATGTAAAATAAATTAGATAAATGAGATCGATGCGTCGCTTGTGTGCTTTACGAAAATTGTTTCACAGTTGTCGCGTGATTCGTACTAAGCCTCACGCGCATGAACGATTATTATTTGAGTCTAAATAAACGCAATTATTCGTATCTATTGGATCGATAATCATGACAAACTTATGAAAATATACAAATGTATAAATTAACTAATTTCTTCACTTACATATTACAATAAAGCGTGTAAAACATCTGAGGAAATGCATTGTTGTGATATTTTTATTATTCTTATATGAATGCACTAATCAGCCGCTATGACTGCTTTGGTAGTTCTAGTGTTACTAGTGATCGATGTAACTACATTAAATAATAAATTTAAGTAAAATCCATGAAATACAGTGGCCTTTAAATAAGAAAAAACTATTTTGGGTATTAATACATAATTTTCCGAAAAATGAGGGAATAAGTTATGCGTTTGTTTCAAAATACCACATTAGGTCTTATAAGGCAAAGTTTATAATTTAATTACCTGCAATGTACTACCTCACAGCATTGATCCCATAAGTACACAGGGTACGTGGAAACAATGGCAGCACAACCATACATGTACATGGAAACATTAATTCCAAATAAAGAATAAAGCTTTCTTATACTATAAGCTCAATTTCTTAAGAATGAGATGCAATGAGTCCCACCAACACTTGCTGTTTCTACTTACAAAATTTTCTAATAATAATCGAATGCACATTTTTCGCATAAAGTTTGAGGCTCATTTTTTTCCGAAAACAAAATATACTTACATATTTAGAGCTTATTTCTACAGAAAGAAGAGAAGATCTAATTGTGATTTTTTAAATAAGAATTCGACACACAAAAATAATGGGTCCTCTTTTGCTCTCGAAATAAAGTCTGGCAATTTGTGACAAATTTAATGTACAAAAAACCTAATTGTCAACCATTTATTTATACATTGCATTAAATATTGAACAGTGCGACAAAAGAGCAACGTAAATTACAACTTAAAAGAGATTTTCATGAAAGAAAAAAGTCATCTCACACGCGATTGTTCTATCATTGCAAACACACCCTATATAAAAATTGCAGTCTGCTCTTTGAAATATCATATTTCCTATAAGATTTAGTATAGCCCTGAATATTACTGTAATCTGGAATCTTCATGTCACATAAAACAGATCGTTTTTCGGTTCCCATTATTGTATGTGATTTCGTCTGGAACCAGCAACTTACTTAGCGTTTATATCTCATACTATCAGCCTGAAGATTTTGGTTGCTATAATTAATTATGTGGCATAATAAATAATTCAGGGCAGAAAAGGTTAATTTTTCGATAACAAAAACGCGTCTGTCATAATTATAGTATTATAAAAAACCTGAGATATACTGTTCAAATATTCTTATACGTGTATATGTAGTTGAATATTCCTGTACAGCCTTGGCCAAAAACATTGGGATTTCTTTGGAACTTTTCTATTGTTCATCACCCTTTCTGGGGTAGCTCAAAGGAATTTTAAAACATTTTACAAAGTTTATAGTGGGTCATAAAGCAACTGAGAGCAGTCGTAGTCCTAATTTTGTGTTTCTTCCTAAAAGTTACAGTCTGCTGTCAGTACACGCTATTAACATACATTAATTTTGCTTCCATTTTGCTGATAATATTTCGAAAATTAGAAAGTTTTCCTTGAAATACGCCAAAAAAGAGTGATCTGAGTGACCATGAACGCAAGATAATTCTTTAGTTTAAAGAAATAGTGCAAATGACCGAAAGTAATTGCTGTGATTGTCAAATGATGACTCAACGAAATATTGACAAAATTAATGAAAAATGATTCTTTTCACATTTCGATGGTTTGATTTCTTCCTAATACAAAAATATTTATTTATCTATATTTATTTAGTTATTAAACAAGTATAAACCCAGTATACATAAATAAACATTTAATGAATGGAATATAGTATACAGTACGGAATTAATCGTAATAGAGAATTTTTAATTAATCGTTAACTTAAATTAAACAGTTCTTAGTGCCCTATATAAGAATTTCTTCGAGTGCTCAATAAAGCCATTGAAAAAGTCAGTCACATTCATAAATTTATTGGCTGATATCAGTATTCGATAAATTGAATTACTTGAACCATATTAAGTATTTATGGTAGCATAATATAATATATGAATCCTTCTAACATACATTCAAGGAACAAAAGAATGAACAAGCTGCAACAATTGAGGACATGAGATCTGGCCATTTATAAGCTTAAACAAAAAAGAAATATCGTTGACAACTCTGCGATCAGTTAAAGAAGTCATATTGAATGTGTTTAATAATGGTCCATAATCGTGATCGTTAAAATATGTTTTAAAAAGTTCATATTTTATGGAATGCCTGATACTTTTGGCCAAGGCTGTATGTATGTATAACGGGGAACCGAGGGGCTGAAAAACTGCTCGTGTGCGAGGTCTCATTTGATTACGTTTGTTTCATTCAACATCGCGGTAACCGCACAGCGAAGAAGAAAAGAACCGACCGCGTCTATTTCACCGCTACGAAAAACGACCACTAGTGCATCTTCCGTGTAAATTAACGTACAGTATTCAAAGCCGTAGGAACGTTAAGGCCAAATTCACACTAACGGTTAAAGGTACGGTCCGATCACGATCAGTTTAAATTTAGACTATATCTCTTTCGTTAAGTGATCGTACCGTGACCACTAGTGTGAATCCGGCTTAAGGAGTCTTCCGTGGTCCGAAATTTTCAAAAATTCGGTATCATCAAATTGACTTCTTAGAGGCGGCCAGTACAGCAGAAGATCTACTATATAGACCTGGAATAGTGTGTAATTTAAAAAAAATTTTCATTTACATCTTAAATTGAATTTGACACTTTGAAACGCGTTTTTTTTCAAAACGATATTTTCAAAGTCATTAACCACGATTAATCGAAAATCGTTGAGCGGTTCTGTTCCAAATTTAGAGAGCTTATTTTAAATATAAAAATCTAGTCTCTAATCGAAGGATTTCACTTCTCTATGTTTAGGTTTTATCATGTAGTCTAAAAATAAGAATTTTTAAAATGAAACTCGGTCACATAACTTCCAACATTAGCCATTTTGTCCCGAATGATTTGTTTCTAAAATACTTCGATTAAAGACTAAATAAACTAATATATTAAATACATTTTCCCGAAATTTTGCTGTCAGGTGGTCCAGTTCCGAGGAGGAATGGGAACTGCGAACCACCTATTTAAGAAGGCCTTCCGGAAAGTTCTGCATAATTCTTAAATAAATCAATATTTTTCCATTAAAATTCAACGAAATACTCTTTAAAGAATAACTTTATTCCCTCACAACCACAGAAGAGCCATTAAATGGCCGAGAACCGTTCATGCGCGTTCGGCTTTACAGTTAAATGAATCACAGGTAGCCTAGACCTGAACCTCGGTAATCGATGGATCTTCGTTTGTTAGACTTCATGCTCTCGAAGTTTCTTTCCTCCCGTTCGCCGGAATCGGTAGCTTTCGATTACTCCGGTCCAAGTTGGTTCTACTCTTGAAGCACTTTCGACACGTCAGCCGCCAAAACGCCAGCCTGAAGTCGGCCGAGTAAAAAGCGTAGATGAAAGGATTTATAGCTGAATTAATCCACCCTGGAACGAACATCGAACGAGTTTTGTTACGATGAATTATTAAACACTTTGATCTTGTGAAGTGTGAAAAAAAACATACACGATGTGTTTACAGATTTATAATGTGTACAGACTTTCTGACATATTTCGTCTTAACGAATTTTAGGGAAGAGAAAAGTGTTAATATCAAGAAGCACAAAAGTCAACATTTTCTGATTTCTAATGGACTCTTTGTGTATCTTGTTTTTATTAATAATTAGGTTAATTTATATTAGGTCAGTGCAAAAATTTCGATAGATTCACATTTGGATAAACGATTATGTTCTTATATTGTACGTTGATTTAAATCAATATTTAATTTTAGATTATATCTTTTATTATAGAAATTTCTAAATCAATTTGGCACCACTAGCTTACATATATTATAATCTAGTGACACATAAGTATGTATCTCTAACTCAATTTTAATTCAGACACAATGTGATTAAAAGAATGGCAATTAAATTTTTTATTGAACAGTGTACGAGAGTAAAAGTGAATTTAGAAAGATTCACTAAAGATCTGACATTCGAAGCGACACCGTAGGCGGTAAAAAGGAAACGATACCTACCTAGCCACGTTAGTGCCGACATAAGGACATCTGGCGGTTTCATGGGTATGAAAGGTGTGGCCAGATAGAGGGTGAAGAAAGGTAACCAACACGCGATGAATCCACCTACGACCACCGCCAATGTGCCAGCGGTTTTTGTCTCTTTAGCTGCTCTGTTGATGCAACTCTGCTGATGACTACGGACAATCCCCGACTTTTTGCTGGTGCTCGGTGGCTCCGTCTCATCTGAAGGCTTGTCGCAGCTCACCGTGGTGTTGACGCATTCGGTTCTTCGTATTCTGATACTCTTTGCTCGTTCGATCTGCACGTAATTGACACGGCAATTGAAATTAACATACAGCTTTGGACCAAAGTATTAAGCACCTTTATTAGTACTCAAACAGCGCAAATACATCATGTGTACATCCGGAGAACATACGTTCCGGACGTTCGATACGTACGGAGAATGTCCCGAAAAGGTCAACCTGTCCCCCTCACGCCCTGGTTAAGATCTTTAAATGTCGTAGGAAGGTCCTATTTACAAACTGAAACGTCCTGAGGATGTCCTGTGTCAAGATTCATAGAAAATTTTCCAAATGTGTAAAACTGACATTCTCTGTATTTTTTGGGAACGTTCAAAGAGTTTTTAAGAACGCTATGGTAATGTCGGAAAAGGCGTATAAGAAACATTTCCCAAATGTTTCAAATTACGGTTAGATTTCATTCTTTGCAAGGTGATAGAAGTTAGGTTAGGTTGGTCTGTGTTTAATAAATAAAACATTAATTTTCCTGCAATTTCCGCGCCTAGAAGGAATTACATTAAGTTAGTTCCAGTTAATAAATAAAAGGTTAAATTTCCTGTAAGAAATTATAATGAAAATATAGGTCTGGGGATTATGATCTCAAAGTACATTGTGTTTATTTTTATTTTCAAAGCAAAATACTGATTCTGTGTTGGTTAGAGCCAGTTTAAGGAAAAAAATGTTTTTTCCAAATTTCCGGAGGTTTCCTAACGAAACCACTAAACGAAACCATCCGTAATTTAAATCCTACGAACACTCGTAAAACTTTAGAAACGGACATTTCTAGAACATGTGAAATTTAAGTCTTGAGAACATCTGTAGAACTTTCGGGACGGACGTTTCTAGAACATCCGATATTTAAGTCTTACGAACATCTTAGGGATGTTCAAAATGGACGTAGGACATGCGGATATAAACTGGATACGAAACGGACGTTTCTTGGATGTACGGTGCTATCTGGATACAGCCTGCTGCGAAAACTATTTCTTTGAAATCTTTCTTGTATTATTCATAAACCTTTGTCGGATAGTTCAAAGGAATTTTAAAACAGTTGATAACGTTTACGGTGGTTCATGAAGCAACTGTGCGATCCATACTCTACATTTTGTATTTCTTCCTAAAGCTTACAGTCTACTGTCAGTACTCGCTGCTAGACAGTTTAATTTTGCTGTTAATATTTTGAAGGTTAGAATGTTCTCCTTGAAATATGCCAAAAAAGAGTGAACGGAGTAACCATCAACGCCAGTAGATTTCTTTTCGTAGAAGAAGAAGAAGCACTACATGTCTTAAAGGTTTCTATAAAATCGGCAACCCGAAGTGAGGGCCATCTCCTTGTTAACGGTGGGCTCTGCAGCATTTCGAATCGCTTCGAATATGTATGTACATATGGCGAAACATTCGAATCATTTCGAACATGATTCGATACTTATAGCTCTTGAAAGTCTTGATGAGTCTTGAATCTTAAGTCTTTAAAGATTCGATATGTCCTGAAATATTCGCGAGTACTCAGTATCGTAAAAAAGTTTTCAAAATGTATCTTTGTAAGACACTGCTTTCAAGTCCTATCAAAACTTTCAAAACTTTGAAAATTATCAAAACTCTCAAGACTTCTCAGACTTGAGGCCTATCGAGTCTTTAGAGACTCAAGACTAATCACGACTTAAGATTCGTTTTAAATATCGAATCGTGTTCAAAGTAATTCGAATTTTCACAATATTGGGAAAGTTCGAATCTCGTCGAAAGTGAGATTCAAACGCCCATCACGATTTGTATTATATTACTATGCAACTATCGATATCCATCGATAATGCAACAGGTAAAAGAATCGTGACGTTTTGACAGGTTACAGAGCACGGCCATAACATGCCTAATGGAGTTTAGTAGCTGTTTGTTTCGTGTAATTAATAGATGTATTCTGCTACATCATCGGGAAATGAGCGAAACTTGTTGCTATTAAAGAGAGCGACGCTGCTTTTTTTTCTGATATTTTGGAGCTCATTACGGATCTGTAAGTGAGGTAAAGGTGCCCTCAGGCAGTGACAACGTTGAAATTTTGACCCTTTTTGTTAATCTGTTGAACAAAAGGAGGACAAAATGTGGCACGGTCCTATATTATGCATCATTTGGAAGAGAGATCAGTTAAAGAATGTATATTAAATAACAGTAATAAAATCCTTACAATATTATGACCTCTGTCGAAGGTATGAAATCGAACAAGTTAATATTACTCTAGATGTTCTTTAACTTACTTACAGGAAATGAAAATACTGTTGTTTATATATGAAAGTCATGAAATGAAAAAGTTCAATACATTTGAAGAAAATGTTAACGGTAGTATAACAATTGTCATTTTTTTACTAAATTCAGCATAATACAATTCTCACGGCTAGATTAAAATTTAAGAAGGCCGTATTTGTAATTTATCAAGTATTAAAATGTTCTTAAGCTTTCAAATGAAACAGACAATAATAAGACTGTTTGGTATTTTGTTTCACGCGTGCACACACTGGAACACTTCCTCCAATCTCTGTTCCATTTTTCATTCTGTATTTTGCAAACGATCAAGAATAGCTATTTTTCCGTTATTATTTGAATAAAGAGTACCCTATTTTATTTGTACTATTATTAATGAAAAATAGTTTACATTTAATATGTAAATAGTTTTTATTTTATTCATTTGAATTCTTTAAAGAAACACATTTTGTAGTGAGAAATATCGTGGTTTTTTTTTATTACATTATGATCCTCATGTGTGCAACCATGCACCTATAAATATGCATGCATAAGAAACTTATTATTGTTCGAAATATATTAATTGAAATTTAAACAAGGACCTTGTGCAAGGATACAACATTTTTAATTATTCAGAATGTTAGGAATAAAAAAAATATATGAGGGACCAGTGAATTTTATTTGCTCCGCTGCTTATTAAAACACCTCAAGGGAAATTCATACGATGTAACCTATTTAATGAAATGAGAGACATTTGAAGACATAAGCCAACTGTTCCTTTAAAATTACATTTCGATAACACCTGCTGAAAATTCGTAGGTAACTCGAAGAAATATTTCTTCACAGGTTTGGATTAATTTATCTACTTCTTGATTTACCTTCATGGCCTAGAAGTTTAAACAATATTTGTAAATTCCTCTGTTAATAAACAATTGCTTATTGAGAATAAGTTGAAAATTTTATTACAATTAACTATTCCGCTTTCCATCCTTAACCAGCTTGAATTAAAAGTGACTTACGAATTTTATAATTACAACAATTCCACATTTTTCAATTATTTCACTATAAGCAGAATCGATAGAGAGAGGGAGAGGGAGAGGGAGAGGGACTTAAAAATGACTTAAGAACTTGCGTAATTTCAAGCATTTAAAATACTTGTTAATTAGGTCATTAGCGTGAGGTATTCGTAGTCGATACAACATGCAATAATCGATATTTTAAACGTGCATTCATGAACTTTGCGTAGCACAATGTAATTCTATCGAGCAGTATCGTGATAAATTTGTACTAAGTATTCGTTTAAATAGATTCAAATTGCCAATCGATTTCTCATTTACGCCTGCTTGTTCGACTTTCCGCGTGAACTGTAATCCACGTCTGATTTATTCTTCAAGCGAAGTCACTTTCTTTGTTTTTTATAGCGAATTTAAAATAAATGTTAGAAGGAATGTTAAACGTTCAAAAGGCTGTCCAATCCCATATTACAAAAATTGTGTTTGTATTTAGTATTGGGATTAATCGCCTTCTTGAACATTTAAAAAATATTCATTGTAATAATATTAGCTGTGCTCTTAGATTTTAACGAAATTTCATGAACTTCTAAACTTTTTCCTGCTGTTGACAATTATGTTTTCAAATAATCACTTCCTACGTTACCTTTAAATTGTCATTTTATTTCTTAAGTCGTGTTTCCAATAGTGAGTTTTTCGTAGACTGATCAACTTATTCTTCTGTTTCACTTGAACTTATCATGTTATTTCAGTATACCTACATTTATTTTTAACGCTAGAACTATGTACCAGCGTTAAATGTACACTGCATTAAATTGTCTTGTATAATAGGATCATATAATATGTATAATTAGTATAGTTTAGAATATAGTATAATATAAAATCTGGAAAAATTATAGGTTATCATAAATTCCGACTGAAGCACCTTTACAATTTCTGTAATTGTAAAGCAAGAAATCTAAAATCCGTCAGTTTGAGAGGCTTTGGTACTTCTAGTGTTAAAGGCATATATCTTTAGGCTTAATTGGTTGTTTTCTATGTCATCTATATCATATAAAAGTACTACTCCTTTTCAACTACAAGATGACATAAAAGTCAGAAAATCAACATAAACGAACTTATCATGTTTTTCACCTTTGGTCTTCATATACAGGATGTCCCAAAAGATGGTACAATCAGCTGCGCGTAGGGCCACACGTACGCACAGCAGCATAGTCGAGAAGCAGAGATCAGTGACCTGCATCGTGTGCTTCTAGACTGTGTCTGTCTGCGCGTACGTGTGGCCCACCGCGCAGCTGATTGGAGTTCGTTTAACTGCTAATACCTCGGAAATGGAGCTTCAGATTACAAAGCGGTAAAGGACTTTTTGATTTGCATTTGTATGAGGAATATGCATGTTGCGGATTGTCCCACCTTTTGGGATACTCTGTACAGGGGAGAGTTGTCTATATTGGACCGACTCCTAGATTGGACCATTTGTGTATTTCTATAAAGAAATATATTTACAGTGTTTCCGTTGGCTATATTGATTTGAGGAGATGAAATCAAATGTGCGACAACAGTGAAACAGGTAATTAATTTGTTTGTCGCTTCACGTCGTCGAGATATAGAAATACATGGTGCGTGATCATTATTTTTCGTACTATTTTTTCGTATAATTTCAAATAATACTAGTATAAAGTGTACTGTCTTAGCTAGAATTTCATATTCATACTTTCCCATTTTCGTTTAAATATAACAATGAAAATATATTTTTCTGGTGCAACCTACAAGTTGCCTTATATTGGACCACCGCTAGTTGTCTAAATTGGGCTGGTCTATTCTAGGATACAATCTATATCATGGTAGCGAATAGTTCAAAGTATACTAAAACGGTTTATTTCGATTCGAAATGGCGACAACACGAAAATATGGAAAATGTGAAATCCACTAAAAAAACGTACTAATGCACTACGTGCACCTTAGGATACTTTTTTCAATGCCTTGAACAGTTTATTTTCAATTGTAGATTTAATTTTATTGGTTTTTAGAAGCGGTCCAATGTAAGAAACTGGTGGTCCAAATTAGGAAACCAGTTGCCTGCAATGGACCGAAGTCATCAGTTTAGTTTTTTAAGATATTACTCTTATCACACGTTTTTTCAATCTATGTATAATGCTAGTCTTTTTTCCGTTTCTCTTTGCATCCTGCGATGTTCTATGCCTGTGTAAGAGAGAAAAATAAAAAAATGATCCAAAATAGGCAACTCTCCCTTATTAGTACCGATAAGTAATCAACTATATTTTATCAAAATCAGTACTTATTTTCGAGGAAATCAGAAGCCTATGCTGTATCAGTGATATTTAGCCTCGTTCTACAATGTTCGCCGTCATTTTGAAAGAAGCAAATGGTAGAAAGATATTTCAAGTTTAAGCTGTGTTATCATTTAATGCAAAAGAAATAGTAGATCAGTATTCAAAGTATCCTCACCAAAATTTTTCTGCGCGGTAGGATGTTTTCGTTGCCGGTGGCCTCGAGGTTTCTATGACGACTCGCGATCAGGCAGGATATCCTCCCGTAAACGTACAGCATCACCAGCATCGGTAGAAAAAAGGATCCCATCGCGGAGAATATCACGTACGAGGAGTCCATATTGTACGAGCATTTTTTACTGTCGCGATTCGTTGCACGCGGAAAGCATCCCAATAGAGGAGGGCTGGTTATGGCGCCGGCCAGGATCCAGACCGCCACGATCATCAAACCGGCCAGTCGTTTACTTCGACGTCGCCGGCTGTATATTAACGGCTGAGTTATGGCTAGGTACCTTGAACGGAAATTTAATTCATTTAGACCTGTTGAAGGAACGCCAAACCGTCCAGGATTATTTAACACATTCGCGGCTTGGTTTTTCTAAAGATTTATCCCAACCACTCATGTCAACGGAGCGGCTTGATGCCAGGATTGTTGTGTGTATCAAATGTTATTGTGTTCTGTAGTCACTGGTATTTTTATCACTTCAATTGCTGTTTGTTATTTAGAGGCATTATTGAGTTGGTGAGAAAGTAATTTCCTTGCTCGCATACACAGTCTGTTCCATGAACTCTGTCCAGCAGAAACATTTTTGTTATTTCAAACAATATGCGAAAATCTTACTAATGAAAGTTGTAGGATTTAAAGAAGTACATTAGTATGGTAATAATGGTTTCTTGGCGGGTGGATGCGTAAAGGAGATATAGAGGTTAATTTCGTTTCCTTAAATGGAATGTCCAATTTTTTATGCTTGGTTTCGATAGAATACCTTTAAATTACTTGAATAATTTTGAGTATGAAAGTACTAAGATCCGTTTATACTACAATCTACCGTTTCTGAGATATTTGACTTTGTTCATATGACATTGCACATGGTCAACACTTCGAACACTTTTCGTAACGAAATTAATAAGATGAACAAATTCAAATATGTCGGAAACGGTAAGTTTTAAGATAAATGTACTTTAATACTTTCATACTCAGAATTCGCTATTCTATCAAAATCAAGCATAAAAAGTTGGTCATTCTATTTAATAAAACAAAACTGACCTCTATATCTCCTCTACGCATCCACCCGTCAAGAAACCATAATTACCATACAAAGGAAAAACCTATATTATCGATTAATTATAATGGAGGAAATTAAATTGTTGATGAAAGAAATTGTTACTATTTAAAAATTGTTGCTTCTTTTTTAATGTTGCAGAACCAAAAAAAATTTTCCTTCCGACGCAATATACAGGGTGTTCCACCTAACTTTGCCACCCTTAATTATTCTTTTATTTGTCACGGTACAAAACAATAGTTCGTGAGAAAGTTAGTGTATTTTAGGGGGGAAATTAGGCTATGAGATTAAAGGTCATCTGAAGGTCATATCTTCTGAGATTTCTCTAATGATGACGTTTTCTTAAATGGTATGCCCCATTTTTTCATTTGCCATTACAAAGAGGAGATCAAAACGTATCCAACAGTGTATCACACTATTGGGTGGCAACACTTTGAACATACACTAAAATAATAAATAATGCGATTATGGTGTTCATTTTATTTCTGCAATTCATTTTCTGTGAGCTTTCACCTCAACCAGTTACGTGCGAAATTTTCAGCCCATGATCATTTCAAGGACATAGTGTGATACATTGTTGGATATGTTTTGATCTCCTCTTTGTAATAGCAAACAAAGAATTAGGGCATCCCATTTAAAAAAAACGTTACGATTCGAGAAATCTCAGAAGATATGACCTTGAGATGACCTTCAATCTCATAGCCTAATTTCCCCCCTAAAATACACTAACTGTCTCCCGATCCATTTTTTTTGTACCCTGACAAATAAGAGAATTATTAAGGGTGGCAGAGTTAGGTGGGACACCCTGTATGTATAACATTTTGTGTACGTCATATCAATTGATCTGGATGATCACATTTGTTTCCGCAAATGTGAATACACAAGTCAATTTGCGCAAATAATTTCAACATAAGCTACCGTTTAGGCGTCACGATTTTTTCGCGCAAATGTGAATACACAAATCAGTTCGCGTAAATTATTTAAACTTGTAAGTAGGCCTAATATCCTGAAAAACAATCTGCTCTTAAACCAACGATTAAAACAACAAAATCACGTGCAACATAGCCATCAGCCGCGAAGATATTGAGGCCCCCTAATTTTTGGCGACGTAGCTTCCGTTCACCCGGTCAAGTATAGGTCGATACAAAACGCAGAGATAGGAGAACGCCGGAACGTGATCGGGAATTTAACGCGTGGTAAACGGTATTTCTCCTGCCCCGAAAAATCTCCTATAAACTTTCGACGATCCTTTCGTCGACATCCCCGCGAACTAAACCCGCGGCTTCCACTTTGAAAATTCTACTCAGTAAGAGGGGTAAAGGGAGGGATTTGGAGGGGTGTTTCATTGTTGATACCAGGACGATCTGTTTGAGGTGCATAAGCCAAAACCTGACCTGTAATCTTGTCCCGTTTACGTGCAACGATTTGGTAATACGGTGGCGGATAACTCACCTGTCTATGGATATGGCGCATAACGACAGAATGCTGGCAGTGCAGAGGAGGACGTCGAGGGAGACCCAAGAGTCGCATAGCACTTCGCCCAACTCCCAAGTACCACCTGTGAGCTTTGTCAAATTTATTATATTAGACGCGAAATTTTCTTATCTAACTGACGACTGTATATGTACTGCTAACATCTGCGCGACCGGTCACCGGCGTTGTAACGGTGCTGGTACACCGACGAGTAAACTCGGCTTCCGCTAGGGGAAAAAGTGAGGTAGGCGAAGGGCCTCCTAGCATTTAGTTTTGGCAATTACTGAAATTTATGCCAAATTAACATTCGATTTAACATTTATTTCAGTACCTGAAATAAATTTTGCTAAATGGTAGAAAGCTCTTTCCTTACGCCACTTTTTCCCCTAGCGGAAGTCGAGTTTGCACGTCAGTGTACGCCCATAAATATAGAAATAAAAACAGCGTCTTCCTGAAAACGGGCGTCCCAAGTTTAAAAAGGGATAGATAGCTTTGTGAGGACTTGGCATCTGTTTTTAAATTTAAGTAGCGGGGAGTGAGGTTCTGGAGGTTTGGGTTTTGGCTGGTTGACTCAGCTACATTAGAAAGAGATAGCAAATCCTCCGAAAGTAACCCGTCTCTTTCTAAAGTTGGAACATCAGGTCAGCCTCACACGTATTCTATACATATTTCTATGTCTATGGGTGCACCGCATGATTTATCTGACATTTTTCTTACTGCTATTTGAGACACCTGGTTAGTATTCTGGTGAATCTAGAGCAAAAATAAACAGACCCATATTCGAGTGTCTCCCAATACGCATTATTTGTATAGACATTTAACATTTAATTTTCCGATATCCAGATTCTACGTGAAAAAAATAAGAAAAAATTTCCACATAAAATTTGTTCGACTGAGGTTTCGAGAAAGAGAAATTTGAAGATTGGTCAGATATGCGTACAATTGAGTACGACTTGGCTATCGTGTATGTGACCAATCTTTAAATTCGACTTTCCCGAAAATTTGGTCGAACAAATTTTATATGGAAATGTTTTCTTATCCTTTCACGTAAAATCGCCCTCTTTCCGGTTGTACTACAATTTCTGACCCATCCTATATTTGAATATCCGAAAATGAATTGTTGAATATCTTGACAAATAATGCGTATTGACAAAGACGTGGGATTGTTTATTTTTGCTGATTTGCTCAAATTCACAAGAAAAAGTTTGATTAACATCGACTACCCCACAGCAGTGACCTTTGCTTGTCAGTTGTATAGGTTCCTTAGGAACAAAAAGTGATTTGACTTCATTAGGTAAAAATTTTTCGGTATTCCATTTAGAAATAATCTAGTTCTAATTGTTTCATTCAAACACGGCGATACCTACGGCAGAAGCTTAAAACCCCTTGCGTCCGTGGCCAGTCAACGCGTAGCGAGCACGGTCGTCAATGGGTCAAAGAAGTATTCCCCATTTGGGGATCATTTTTAAGAGATTTTTAAAACTAAAAATTAACACATTGGCGCCCGATTTTTGGCATACAGAGTGTAACAAAAATGTTGTCCGACCTGGAAATGGGGCACTCGGGGGATGAATCGGAAAAATGTTTTTCCTTAGCGACAATGTAATCTGAGGCTTCGTTACGGAGATATTAACGAAAAACCGCGACCAATCAGAGCGTGAGTTTACCAGTCGAGTTCCCGCGGTAAAGCTGCCTACCAGTCGCAGCACGTAGCCACCGCTAGCGCGGGAACTCGGCTGGCAAATTCGCGCTCTGATTGGTCGGGGTTTTTTGTTAATATCTCCGTAACGAAGCCTCAGATTACATTGTTGCTAAGGAAAAACTTTTTCCATTTCACTCCCCGAGTGCCCCATTTCCGGGTCGGACAACATTTTTGTTACACCCTGTATATGACTTGTCCCTGCTCTTGACGCAGATCTGCGATAACGGGCGCCAACATATTAATGGACCATGGAGCTGGATGTTTTTCGTATACATGTTTGCTCACATTTCAAGAATGCGCAATAAAATTTATATACAATTCATTTTTATAGTAATAATGTTACTGCATGTTCTTTTGCAGCGTATCTTGTATTCATTCACGTATTCTTGTATTCATTTCAAACAGAAAACTTAAAATTAATCTTAATCGATATTGGTGTGGTTACTGTTCGTACTAGAATGAAGTAAAAAACATGTATTTTGACGAAAGCGCAGCCATACACAAAAAAATATATGAATTTTACCATAAAAGTTTCAAATTTCTCAAACGATAAAAAACAAACGATTAAGAATAAAAAACCAAAAAAGAAAAAGGTAAAGGACCATCTATGTTGTATGTACAGAAAAGCTGAAATGAATTGGTTATCTGATTATTGAAACTCATGGCAACCGATTTGGAAAACATGATTTCGAGAAAATCGCGTTTAAAGTTTTCGCTGCAAATGACTTTATACTGTCATTCGCATTAAACCAACTAATAGAGTCAAGAAATAAAATCAAGGAAGAGATCACGACAGCGATCCTTCGCAATTTTTGTGTATAATTTCATTTCGGAGGAATGTGGTGTATCGCTTTCTTGAAATATTTGTAACTGTATCATTTCGTCGAATTCAAGCATAACGTTTTATGTACACATTTTCAAAATATTATACTTTAAGGAAATGAAAATAAAAAATTAAACTTTTGACCCCTCCAAATTGGAATATTCTCTTAACCTTCAGAAGACTAACCCGTGGAAAGCCCAACCAAGCCATTTCTGACCCACATCGAAATCTCGTATAAATATTGGGTCGTTTGAACAGTTCATAAAGTTTCGAGCACAGTGTCTTCGTTACTTTCTTACTGGACGAAGGAAACATCATTGGAATAAGTACTATTTCCCAGGTGTGGATTGAATGAATAGGCACAAAGTCTATTCTGATTACGTTCTATCATACTTGTAAAGAAATTGCACTACTTGGAGCGGAAAATTTTCTAGTATATACCCTTTTAATTACACTTTATCCCAACAGATGATTATTCCTTTGGATCGTTATAATATTTTGCATCAAGGAAAAACGTTCAAAGCAAAATTCATCTTAGAAACAGATTGAACAGTTGTGTTTAGCGAAACCAATTGAAATTGTACATAACTAGTACAATAAAATTAATTGAAAAATGTAAACAAATTATTAAAATAGTATGCTATGAATTGAAAAGTATAGATTGTAACTGTGCCCTTGAAGAAGCTACGAACTTTCCGAACAACCCAATGTTTCGTCAAAATATTCAGCCTACGTTCTAACTTAGGCATAACACTTCGACTGCCACGTCATCTAGATGGTAAAACACTATATAAAACATATTCAGTAAAGGCCTATGAAATTTGAAAATGTAAAAAAAATACTAATGTGGAAAATCTTAGTTTACAAGAAGCAATATCATTAAAAAAAATGCTCCCATTTTGTGGACTTTTGACAGTCAACGTGTTAAAATCTGAGTCCAGAATGACCCACTTCGTCATCCGAGGGTTAAAGCTTAAAGCACATGAGGATTTTCCGTTTAGGGAGCTGAAAGCTCGGCAGTCCCTCTGGGAAATGACTTGGACATTCCGCTAACATTGTAAATAGTTTCATTCGTAGCCTGCGGGCGTGCTGATAATGAAGTTTTCATGCGTTTGGTCTTATACACGGTATCTTTGTTTTTACGTAGAAGTGGATTTACTTCATAGAGATTACGTTGAAGCGTTGGAATAGATTTGGTATGGCGTAGAGCCTTTTTCTGGATTATTCTGACTTTCTTTTGAAATAAAATTGAATAGAATTGTATTCGACAGTGCATATTAAAAATATTTCAAATGAGTACTTATTATATACGTTCTAGCTTCTTGTTGCAATGATAGCCGTGAGAGTTCGGGGGTCCGATGCAAGGGGGAGCTATGCCATAACAGTAGCATTGTGAGATATTAAGGCTTTTATGAAAAGTAGTATACATCATAGTACACTATGATTTTATATACAGTGTGTTTGGTTATACAAAAAAATTTGCAAACTAGTGGAAAACTATCCACTGTATGAAAGAATGGTTCAGACAAGAAGTGAATGTTCTCAAGGGGGACATAATCTGGTATAATTAGTTTTTTGTAGATGGTCAAGTAAAAGTCATATTGTGAAGGTGGCATATGCTATTTTAAATAAAATCATATAGTTTTAACTCTTGTACTCGATTTGTCTCGGTATTCTCTACAAAAAATGTATTAACTTATTTATGTCAAAAAATGATTAGTTTTGGGGATATTTAAATCCTAATATGTATTGCAAAGTGATTGTCAATTGAAGAAAGGTGCAGACATACTGGTTAAAGGGGATTAAAAGGGGATTACATTAATACGTAGGTTATTGAACGTTACACGTGGAAATCGCAGGGTAAAGAAGGAAGTTGGTTTACCGAGCGTCTGAGCGAGAGGCTCTCGTGCCGAAGTGCCGGAGGATGGAAAGAGACACACAGTGGAATTGAGATCGTGACAACGTCGCACGAAATACGCAGCTCGCGTTGGATCCCCACCAGGCCACGCGCCGAGGCAGGGCGACCGTCGAGGGCTCTTCTTTAGAAAAACAGACCATAGACACCAAAAGGTGCCAGAATGAACAAAAATCTCGTTTTTCAATATTTTGTGGCATAACTCCCGCTTAAACTGGACCCCTCAAATGTTCAATTGGATTATCTTGCGAACTTCGCTTATAGGAGAACGAATTAATGTTATCCAGATTGATATCAATAGAAATAAAAGAATAAACTGTTCTTCGACGTATTGAATGTAGTTTACACTTGTAATGAATGGTTGAGATTTCACTTGATTGATGAAGTGGACTTGTTTGTAGTTGTATCCAGACATCCTTGTTATTGTCTGTTCGATTGCACCTTGGTTTTCTCTCTGTGTCAATTGGATGATTGATGTATCGGAAAGGTGGATATGTTAGTGTATGAATGGTATTCGGTGTTTGTGTGGGTATGGCAAAATTGGTGATATTCGTGGAAGGTAGGACGAGATGCCGATGTTACCCCTCTCAATGTAGATCTGTTTTTCTTGGAACATACAATCAGCTGCAGGGAGAAACTGTAAATTGGTTAA